TGTTCTTGTGTTTTATTTTCTGGTCTTGTAGTTGAGGCTGTCAGTGTGGTTGCTCTAGGAATCTACAGTACAAGTAACAACTGTTCCTTCTGGAGCTTAGAATATTCTGCAACCTTACAGCAAAACTCATGATATAAAACCTTGTATTTGTGCAGCACGTGCATCATGCTTCAGTGGGTTGCTGTTACATTAATGCCAGATTTTAAGGGTTTGCTTTAGTGAACTACACACCAGTGTGGTAGAAGTTGCTGCAGGGGATGTAAGCGTGTGCTAGATTTTGTACTTTAAAATTTAAGCAAGTGCTTAAGGAGGCTTTTTGCCTCTTAGAATGTACTTGACTGATGTAAGGAGTTAGGCTTGCTTCAAATCTTACAAGTTTTCCTGTTACAATATTTGAATAGTTTAATTTACATAATGAACATCTCAGTTCTTTGACTGAAACAAAGTGCTTTCCTTTTGAGTCATGTTCCATGTAATAAAGCATGATCTCATCTAAAATCTATTTTTATTAAAAAGAGTAATTATATGCTGTCTTATAATTGCTCAACTATGTTTGTAAAGACTTTGAAAATAGTTAATTTAGGGAACATTAAGATGGGTAGCAATAAATGTAAAACATCTGTAGAGTAATTCAAGGGGTTGATAATGAATCCACTTTTGCAATCCACTTATTGCCAAAGTAATAAGGCTTTTGGGGGATGGTGGCGGGGGAGGGGGAGGGGATGGCTTGCCTAATACCAAGCAGGATTAATAGTTAGTTGCCTGGTAATCTCAATCCCCAGAGTTCATTGCATGCTCCAGATAAGATCTTCTGTGCGTAAGAAAGTGAGGAAGCAAACATCTGTATTATTATTTATGAAGGTGAATAAGTGTCATGATTTTTCAGATGTGCCAAGCACAAGAATCGGGTCATTTAAGTGCCCCAAAGCATGGGGACAGCAGTGTGAGTGGTTTTTGAACCAAAAACCTCATTTGAGATTTAAAAAAAAGTCTTAAGAAAGCCGAATCCTTGTACTGATGACATTATAAATACTTTGGACTGGACTAAAAAGCAGTTATCCTGTAGTTTAGTTTCTTGCACCTCCAGTATGTAGTGTTTTACGTTTGTGTACTAGTGCTGGTGAAATGGCTTTCCCTCAACCTCTCTTACTGCATGTCTTTTGAATGGTGTATCACTGTCATAGATTTACTGCCTTAAGTGTTTCTTGTAGTTAGGGAAAGGATGCAAGGCAGAACACGGCTAACTTGATAAACAGGGTTTTGATAGGTTAAAGGTTTTCTGATGACTCATAAATCCCATTTTGATGGAAGCTGACATCCCTTCATTTTAATAAAGCTGGATCTCAAAACTGTGGTCTCTTATTTGCTTTAATGTGTTTTCCAGCAATTGAAGTTCCCTTTCAGGGTAGGGTATTTGAATATATAAAAGCTGATTGGTGTGCAATATTAATAGTTGAAGCCTAAAGAAGGGATAATCCTTTAGTTCCTAGGCCATATTGTTTCTATAGCCAGCTTCATGAGAATCACCTAGTCTCTTTTATGTCTCTTGTCTAGTTCATGCGAGCAGTTTCTGATATCCTGTAATAGAAGGATGTGCTTTTGGTTATGTCTAGTAGGAATTATTTTCCAAAGACATGAATATAAATTGTGATTAAACTGGAAACTTACCACTCTTTACAGTGGAATGAACACATCCACAAGGTTTTTAAGTTTCTGAGATCGATAACTAACTTCCTCACCCCTACCTGGATGTTTGGATTTTCTTTCCTAACTTCTCAGACTCTTACATAGCTTTTAAGAAAGATTACTCAGCTGATGACTCCTGCTTGCCCCCAACTACTAATGGCTTTCTCTGCAGTTTGTACTGAGTTTATTTAATTTGACAGTGAGGTAATTGTTCCCTGCGTTTAAGCACAAAAATTTGTTTTTGTTTGTTGGCAAAACAGTTGTTTCTGTTGTACAAAAAGGCACATGAAATAGTAAGCAAAATCTTGGTTTATATGTGAAATGCAGTTTAAAAATCTCTAATTTTTATAGTCCAAGGGAATTGCTCTACAGAGTAATAATTTTCCGGTAGCAGAGTAATTCTTATTTCTTTGGCCCAGATAGTTCGTTTCTTTATTCGCTTCCCTTGCTTCTGACACCTGCCAGTGTATATCTGTGCAACAGGCAGCTGGAACTGAAGCCTGCTTTTTTATAAAAGAGCTGTGTGTGAGCTCAACAAATAACAATAATTACAAGGTTGGGAATTGTTGGCTTCCCTGTTTAATTGAATCTTTTATGAATTATGCATTTATTGTTCAGCTAGAAGCGAATCCCTACTTCCTCTTAAGAATAGCCTCAAGGAAAAATTGGGTTGCGTGAAGGATGTGTAAGGCCCCCTGCACCTTTGAATATAATGGTATGGACTGTTGGACTTCTGAAACTGGGGGACTGGGGATGGTTACTGTGGGTCTGTGCTCACCGGAGGCTTTTATGCAAAAACACGGAACCCCTAACGATGTTAACCTAAGGCTGAATACGTAATATACAGCCTGTTTAATGCCAGTTTAAGGTGATGTTTGTGTAAAATGGAATGCAATCTGAAAGGGAGACGTAGTCCTAAGTCTACCCTAAAGACATACATGTCGGTGACTAGCTTCAATGTGTCCCTTTGCTTGTGGATTATATCGCTTATGTGTGGTGTAATAACATTTGCATGCCAGATGCTGTCCAGACATGCGAAAGAACAGTTTCAGTCTTTAAATCAAAGGCAATGTTTTTTTTTAAGTTGCCCTGCCTGAGTGGACCTTTACCTTTGATAGAGCTGTGGATCTGTCACCTCTGAATAGAGGTGAACTGAGGCTTCACTGTAATTCAGTAAGAATATTTTGGCAATTTGTAGCAAGGCATCAATATTTTATATTATGTTGGTGTTTAACAACATAAAAAAAGAGTATATTAAAAAACTGACAATTTATGTAACTGTTGCCGCTGCACAATCACCTCTTTACCCAAGAGCCTAATATGAGAGAAAATAAATACATGCATTAGCCCTCAAGACCAGGATTTTAAATACCAGTGCAGCAGCTGTTAACCCAGCATCTGAGACAGGAGGATGAGCAGGAGGCAAAAAAAAGCAGAATCCTAGGT